TGGAGTAAACTCAGCCATGTGGCTGCAGCCAGGATCAGATCCATTGCTTGTGGGGCCAATGGACTGGCCGGGCCAATGGACTGGCCGGACCAACCCCATCCCCAGCAGTGCCTCTGCCCCTGCTGGGTCCGTAGGCTTCAGCCCTCACCCCACTGTCCCTTGGGTGGCTTCTGCAGAGTGGTGACCCAGAGCTGGTGCCATGATGGAGACTGGGGCAGGCAGGGAGGGCTTCCCTGAGGTGGTGGTGTTTGGATTAGCGCTGAAGGGTAGGCAGGAGTTGCCAGGAGTAGGGAGAGACCATGGCTCAGGGCCAGGAAAGCTGGCGACGCCCCTTTGGAGCCTCGTCTCCTCTGGAGCCCTTGTGTTTGATTTCTCACTGCTGGAGTGTGAGCCCCCAGGGCAGCAGTTGCCTTGTCCCCACAGTGCCCCTCACTGGGCCCACCTCAAACCGTCACAGACTGGCTGCAGGGTCCCCAGAGGCCCCCACTGCAGTCTGGGAGAGCCTTGTGCATCGGAAGTGGGTGAGCTACAATGTGAGAAGCGTGGGATGCAGGGACCGGGCTTTTCTTTAGAGTGCCTGCGTGGTCTGCACTGTAGAACCGTGTTTTACAGCGGTGGGGCCCACTCTGAAAGGAAAGGGAGGCTCCCGGGGGAGGAGTAGCCTCTTCCAGCCACTCTGCAGCCTCCCCAGTTGGCAAAACGTAGGCCTCAGGTCATAGGCCGCCCCTGGAGTGGGTTGCGAGGATCGGGGGCAGCTGTGTGGGGTGGTGGCTGGCATGCCAGGCCGGGGCACCTAAGCGAGCCTGGGGGTCTGTGAGACTGTGGTGTCACTGAGGCAGGCAGGCTTTTGCAGTCCATGTTGTCCCTCTGAGTGGGCTGTGTGTGTGCAGCGTGAGAATACGAGGTGACGGCAGATAGAGCCTATAAACTAGGGCTCAGGGGCCGTTTTATTTCTGGGTTTTTTGTGTGTGGTAAAATGCATAAGATAAAATTTGCTGTTTTAACCATTTTTAAATGTACACTCCAGAAGCACCATTATTTCCAAAACTTGTTCATCCCGCTGACAGAAACTCTGTACCCATGAAGTCGTAACTGCCCGTTCCGCAGTCCGCGGAGCCTCGCCGCACCTCTGTCTCTGTGAACTGGCCCGTTCCAGGTGCTGTGTAGAAGCGCTTATCCAAATGTCATTCCTTTTCACGGCTGGATACTGTTCCATTGCATGGACAGAGCACATTTTGTTTACCCATTCACTTGTCAGGGTTTTTAAAAATATAAATAGGCCGGGCATGGTGGCTCACGCCTGTAAGCCCAACACTTTGGGAGGCCGAGAAGGGTGGATCTTGAGGTCAGGAGTTCAAGACCAGCCTGGCCAACCAACATGGTGAAACTCCGTCTCTACTAAAAATACAAAAATTAGTGGGGCCTGGTGGCGGATGCCTGTAATCCTAGTTACTCAGGAGGCTGAGGCAGGAGAATCGTTTGAACCAGGGAGGAGGAGGTTGCAGTGAGCCAAGATCACACCATTACACTCCGCCTGGGCAATAGGGCAAGACTCCGTCTCAAAAATTTAAATAATGGAGCTGGGTGCCGTGGTTCACACATGTAATTCCAGCACTTTTGGTCAAGAGATTAAGACCCTCCTGGCCAACATAGTGAGACCCTCAACTAAAAATAATAGGAAACGATGGCACACACCTGTAGTCCCAGCTACTCAGAAGGAATCACTTGAACCCAGAAGGTGGAGGTTGCAGTGAGCCGAGATCACGCCACTGCACTCCAGCCTGGCAACAGAGACTGTCTCAAAAAATATATATGTACGTATATTATATATACAGGCCCATATGTATAAGTATATACTATATATGCATATATATTATATATGCTCATATACTATATACGTGTGTGTGTGTGTATCTATATACACATATACCTATAATGGGTCGTTGCAGTGGCTCATGCTTGTCATCCTAGCACTTTGAGAGGTCAAAGTGGGAGGATGGCTTGAGCCTTGGGATTTCGAGCCAGCCTGGGCAAAATAGTGAGGACTCACTTCTACATACAAATTCTTAAAAATGAGCTGGGCATCCTGGTGCATGCTGGTGGGGAGGATCCCTTCAGCGCAAGAGGCAACAGTTGCAGTGAGCCCTAATGGCCCCGCTGCACTCCAGCCTGAGCAACAGAGCAAGACCCGTCTAAAAAAGAAAAAAGTAAACCACGTAAGTCAGTCTGCAATATTTTAAAACCTGTTTATGTAATGGTGCAGATTTCCAGTTTCTTCTAACAGTTTGGAACACGTGGCCATGCGAGGTCCGAGCACCTGGTGCCTTACGGGTCTTACCCACCCAACCACCTCCCTGGTGAGACAAGGGTGGTATCTGAGTGCAGGAGTTGGGGTTCCCTGGAGCTAGTGCCTGTTGATCCCCAGCCAGGCAATCAGGGGCACAGCCCCGAGGCAGAGGTGTTGGTAGCTAGTCAGGGCCCCATGCCGGACATCTGACCTGGTGGAGGCTCCAGGTTCCCCCCAAAGCTGAGACATGAGTCTCAGCTCACACCCGGGGAAGACAAGTCCATCTCCCTGGGAAAAGCTGATGGGGAGGCGGGTGATGGAATGATGGGATGTCACCTCTGGCCCTGTACAGGATGTGGCTCTGCAGCCAGCCTTGGGCCTGGTGCCTGTGTTGAATGCAGTGACCACTGGCTTGCTGTGTGCCAGACATGATGCCCACTTCCTCTGGAAGGCGCCATCCCTCCTTCCAGAGGAGGAATCCAAAGCCCTCCCAAGTCAAGCAAGTGGTCTGTGAGGGTGGTGTCAGTACATGAAGTCACACCTGCAAGATGGGTAAAGGATGGGACCCTCAAAGCTCATGGGAACGGGGGTGACCAGCCAGTATGGATGTCATCCCTGTCCCCAGTGGAGGCTCCTGGCCCTCAGATGCTGGGGGTTCTCCAGTGACAGGGTCTGTGCTGGTGGGACGGGTGGCTCTCATGACCACTCCGGCCGGGCCAGGCAGCAGGCTGGGGTTGGAGGCGGGAGTGCCTTCTTCCTACACACAGTGGAGAAAGGTGCTAGCCTGAGGTGTCAGCATGGAACCAGGCCTTGAAGGCTGGCTGACATCTGCTCAGCTGGAAGTGTCATAGCAGGCAGACTGCAGAGCCCTAGCACGGGACAGTGGCATGGGGCTGGGGGACTGCAGCGGTCACGGGACTGAGAATGCCAGGGCCATGGGCCAGACTTTTCTTCAGCAGCAGGAAAGTGTGAGACAGGGGAGTGAGGATTCCGCCTGGCTTTCACTGGCAGTGGGGTATGGGGCGCCTGGGCACTGGAGAACAGCCAGTGGGGGCTGCATGGGGAGCTGGTCTGGTTCCTGGGTAGAGGACGGTGGGTACCCCCAATTCCCACAGTTCACCCTCCCCGTTATTCATGAGGCTCAGTAAGTCACATCTGTCCCCGCAGGAGGTCTGGCACCTTGGTTGCAGTTGTTACTTTGTTTCCAGGCTAGCACTCAGTAGGTGCACAGTAAAGATGCTGGGTAGTGTGTTCACTCCAGACTGGGCGTGGGCAGGCGGTGGGGGTCCTGGAGACAGACAGCGCGGGCCGGGACTCCGGGGATGCAGCCAGTGAGGGTCAGCTGTGGGCGGGCTTTGAGCAGAGCGTGGAGCTGCCCTGCGGGAGGATGGAGTGGTGGAGCTAGGCTGCCCGGAGGAGGACAGGACGCCGGGCCCAGGGGACCTGCAGCAGCCGAGGGGGAGGGGTGCACTGCGTTGCCGTAGCCTCCCATCCCCCTCTGCCCGGCCCGGCCGCTAAATAGGCAGCCTGGACCCGCCCTCGGGCAGCCGGGAGGCCGGCAATTGGTTGGGGCGCTAGAGCTGCTCGGTCGCCATGGGGACGCTCTGGAGGCGCGCGTGCCCAGTGCCCAGTGCCCAGCGCCGGGGACTAAATCTTCATAATCTGCCGGCTGGGAGGGTGGGGGTGGGGTCTGTCATGACCCTGGCCTGGGGGAAGGAGCGGCAGGGCGTGCTGTAACCGCCCCTCCCCCACCCACGTTGAGTGCAGGTGCGGAGCCGCCAGGGCACCTGTGCACCGCCGGGACCCTCGCGGGTGCTCACCTGACAGTGACCCCGGGAGTTCCCGTGCAGCCTCAGCCTCTGCCGTCTCAGCTGAGCAAGCAGGAGGCCGGGGCCGGGGCCGGGTGGGCAGAGGCCTGGAATGTATCTGGAACTGTCTGGGCGTCCTGGTTCAAGTTTCCTGTTTGGCGCTCGCAGGCCGGCAGTGCCGCGCTCTTCGCGGTAGGGGGCGCCCTCGTAGTGCTTTGCCGAGGCTGCTCACCCTGAGACGGCAGGCATGCTACTCGGGGTGCCCCGTGCAGACCCCAGACCCTGCAGCCCCGGTTTGGCACGTTCCAGGCCGTGGGGCCTGCACGTGGATCCGGTGACCACTGTGCCTAGGCTGCCAAGGCTGAGCTGGGTTGGGCTTGCAGGAGGGAGGGGATGGCTGGAGGCCACAACAGAGCCATCCTCCTGCCTCAGGCAGAGGAAGGAGACATTTGAGGGCCCAGTGTGGAGAGGGGCTCCGAGAACGTGAAGCTGCAAGGCAGTGTCCGGCAGCAGAGCAGGATGGGTGGGAGATGTGGTCCTGGGAGCTGGAGAGAAGGGAGAGCCTGGCTGGGCCTCACTCCCAAACCCTTGGAGCTGAGTCTCCCCTAAGCCTAGACATAGCACTTGTGAGTTCAGGGTGCAAGGAGACCTGCCATGCCCTGCACAGCCTTGCCTGGCCCCTCTGCTCCTGATGGCCTGGCTATTCTGGCAGAGGGGACCCCGGGGCTTCCTCAGCTAGGGTTGTGGGCTGGGGAAGACGCCTCTCGGAGCTTCCGAAGTTGGGTAGCAGCACTCACCCCCTGACCCAGGGACACATGAGGAAGACACAGGGCAGGATACTCCCAGGTGGCTGTCGTGGCCACAGGACCCAGGATGGGGCCTCACACCCGGCCCTCTCGTTCCAGATGACTCCTCCTCCGAGAGTGGCAGCGGCAATGGCTCCTCCACCCTGAACCCATCCACGTCGAGCAGCACGCAGGGCGACCCTGCCTTCCCCGAGATGAATGGCAATGGTGCCGTGGCCCCCATGGACTTCACCACGGCAGCCGAGGACCAGCCCATCAACCTGTGTGACAAGCTCCCACCAGCCACTGCGCTCGGCACACCCTCCTACCCCTCCGACGGCTGCGGCACTGACGGGCTGCGGAGCCGTGTCAAATACGGGGTGAAGACCACCCCTGAGGTGTGTGGGACTGGGAACTGAGTCCATTTCTTTCTGTTAAGGGCTTTTGTGAGGTGGGAATGAAATTGTCTATGCCCAGAGCTTAGCTGGAGCCAGCCCGTGTGTGTGACACCAAGCTAGGGTGGCGGCTGTGGCTGGTACGTCGTCGGGTTCCTGGAGAGTCTGTGGAATGGGAGATGGCTTGGAGTGTGCCCTCAAGCCAGGCCCGATTCCCCATCTGTGAAGTGGAGCTGATGGCCTCTGCCTTGGTTGAGGGGGTAGATGGATATGCATCCCCACAACCTGATCCCCTCCCCCAGAACAGTGTCTGCTGTGGACAACAGCAAGTGGCCACTTTCGGCACGGTGAGGTACAAGGCCTCCCACTGCCTGCTTTCTCTGTCTGCCTGTCCCCATTTTATAGGTCGTACCAAAAAAAGGGCGAGGGCCCAGGGATGTGGGCAGCGGAACTCCTCCTCTGACCAGGCTGATGGAAAGTGGGAAGGATGAGCAGGGCAGCTGCCCCCACCAGTGGGCACCCCCTGCTTCCTGGGGCCCTCCCTCACGCTTCCCCAAGCTGCCTCCAGGTCGCTAAGGTTTCCTGCAGCAGTGCCTCTTCTCCAACCTGCTTCCAGGGGCAGAGGCACCTTCCTGGAGCTCACAGCCCTGGACAGGCTCTTCTCCCTCCCTGGGCCTGTTTCCTCTGCTGCAAGGAGGGTGTAGTTTCTAGCTAGTTGCCTGCCTCAGCTGGTGCATCTTGTGGGGAAGTTCTATACCGTGGGCTCAGTGCTGAGTTGTTATTGTGTGTGTGTAGCACAGGTGGCTGGGAGCAGGTTCTGGGCAGAGCAGGCTTTGCCTGGATCCAAGGGGCAGACATAGCTGCTCTCCCATAGAGGGGAAGAGTTTTGCTCAGCAGTCATTGCCACTGTGGCCACAGGGTATATGGAGTGGAGGGGCGTGAGGAAGTGAGATGGGAGCAGGAAGGTCACCAGCAGCTCCCATTTTAGTTTCCTCCATCTGTCTGCCCTGGGAATCCTGCCGCTATCCAAGTCTGTATGTGGACGAAGAGACAGGCACCAGGCCAGCGACCCTAGGGGACTGATCCCTGCAGGTCTACACAGCTTCCTGGATTTGCTCCTCAGAGAGTGCTGTTTCCCTCATGGCTGTGCCACGCCACGCTGCCACATCACGGGGTCTGACCGCAGCCACCTGCTCTCTGAGCCTGCCTTACCTGCTAGATGCCAGTCTCCCTGAGGGCAGGAACAGTGTCCCCAGGCTACTGCCAGTCAGGATCTGAATGAGTAGTTAGGAGTAGTTAGGACATATCGAAAGCACAAACTTCCCAAAAGTCAGCTGTGGTCCTCAGCTGTCCCAGAGCAGATCCTGAGGAGGGGCAGGAGACAGGTGATACGGGAGCTGAACCATGAAGGATGAGATGGCGGACGCCTGGAGGAGAGGATGGAGCTGCCTGCAGGGATAGATGGGTGAGGGGCTTGTCCCAGGAGGAGCTTGTGGTGGGAGCAGAGGGCCAGAGCCCTTCTCTATTGGAGGACAGGTCACTGCCTGGGCAGGCTGGATCTGGTTCCCTCTCCCCTTTCTACCCACATATTCTTAAGTGGTCACTGTGCTGTCCTGGTGCGGGGTGGACAGGAGAAGCCCAGTCCAGAAGCTGCAGGAACACATCCTGCCTAATGGACCTGTGGCCTTGGCTGGCTGCCTCGCCCGGCCATGTTCCTCCTCCTGACAGACAGCATGCTCACTGCTTTGGGGACAGCTTGGTTATCAACTTGGGGTTGCAGCCCCTTGGGGAACCGGGAGGAAAACCCCAAAGCCAAAACATCTCTGCACAAGAGGAGGCTGGCGGGAGGTGCGAGTCCTTTCCATGTCTGCCCTTGCCTTGCATTGTGGCAGGTCCCAGTGTAGGCCGCTGCTGAGGTGACACCCTCTTAAGTGTTTGGCACCCCCCAGGAGCCTGGCCGCTGCATACCTACTGTTGCAGTCAGTCCTCCCTGCGGCAGCCCAGGGAGGGAGGTGGCAGCATTGCTGTCCCCATTCCACAGATGAAGGGGGCAGAAGAGAGGAGTGACTTGCTCCGGGCCTCACAGCTGTGGCTGTCGGGCAGCGAGGTCCCCACGCTCCCTCCCTATGGGAGACCCAGCAAGGGCATGAGCAGCTGCCTGGCCCAACCCTCTGCCTCTTGCCCTCTTTTTAGTCCCCCCCTTACAGCTCTGGGAGCTACGATTCCATCAAGACCGAGGTCAGCGGCTGCCCCGAGGACCTGACAGTGGGCCGGGCTCCCACGGCAGATGACGACGACGATGACCACGATGACCATGAGGACAATGACAAGATGAACGACTCTGAAGGCATGGACCCTGAGCGCCTTAAGGCCTTCAACGTGAGCACCGGCTAGAAACAGGTGGGGTCGGGTAGGGGCAAGGCCAGGGCCAGCCCATCCCATGGCCCATGTCTCCGTCCCCACAGATGTTTGTGCGTCTCTTTGTGGACGAGAACCTGGACCGCATGGTGCCCATCTCCAAGCAACCCAAGGAGAAGATCCAGGCCATCATCGAGTCGTGCAGCCGGCAGTTCCCCGAGTTCCAGGAGCGCGCCCGCAAGCGCATCCGCACGTACCTCAAGTCCTGCCGCCGCATGAAGAAGAACGGCATGGAGATGGTGAGTCCCTCTGCCCCAGCCGACCTCCCGCCGCACTCCCAGGGTGCCAGGGGGCCTGGAAAGATCACACAGCTCCATAGACTGAGGCGCGGGAGCCCAAACCCCACCCTGTGCCACCCACCCCTGGGGCAGGGTCTCTGCACAAGCCCAGAACCTCCACGAGCCCTGTGCCAGCTCCATTCCCCATTCTGCCTGCAGACCAGACCCACGCCACCCCACCTGACCTCGGCCATGGCAGAAAACATCCTGGCAGCTGCCTGTGAGAGCGAGACGAGAAAGGCAGCCAAGCGGATGCGCCTGGAGATCTACCAGTCCTCACAGGTACCTGCCACCACAGCTGCAGCAGGGGCCACCCCGGGAAGCCAGGGAGAGCAGTCCTCAGACGGGTGTGGACTGAGGGAGCTGTGATGGGTGCAGTTGGGAGAGGGCAGAGGGGGAACAGGAGGGCAAAGACGAGGAGGTGGGTGGAGGTCAGGTGTGTTCTCAGAGGTCCTCAGACCTCATGTGGAAGTGTGGGCTCCATCCTGAGACTGGAGGGCGCTGGTCAAGTGAACCCACAGAGAGATGAGCAGAGTTGGGGGAAGCCCCTGGGGCGAGACAGACACAGTCTCACAGGTCAAACCACAGCATTGGGTCCCAGGAGTCCTGGGGCCACAGCGTGTATCCACCTGGTGTTCAGGGATGGTAGTTGGGCCTGGTTACCCGTTTCCCCAGCGCCACCCTCTCCCCTCTGCAGGATGAGCCCATAGCCCTGGATAAGCAGCACTCGCGGGACTCCGCAGCCATCACCCACTCCACCTACTCACTGCCAGCCTCCTCCTACTCCCAGGACCCCGTGTACGCCAACGGCGGCCTCAACTACAGTTACCGCGGGTATGGGGCCTTGAGCAGCAACCTACAGCCCCCAGCGTCCCTCCAAACAGGAAACCACAGTAACGGTGAGTTGCAGGAGGCCTGGACTCTGGCTCCTTGACCAGCACCCAGCTGGGTCTGCAGAGCACCCCGGGGCAGGGCAGAGGGCAGCAGAGGCCAGTGACGGAAAGGGGCTGCCTCACAGCCTGGGGAGCAGGAGGGGCCGCTCTGGCACCCTCCCACTTCATCATCTCAGCAGGTCCTTAGATGGGGAGGTGGAGGAGGTTTCAGCTGGTTAAAGCAAACGCCTCCCACCCTCTTCTCACCGCCAGTGACACTGGCTCCAACGCTTCCTGCCTTCACTACCAGTGCCTCTCAGTGGTTCCGCTACCCCAGGGCTCCTGTGGGTGCCGAGTCCCAGCCAAGGGCCTGTTCTTGCCCTGAGTTGAATCTCCACAGCCCATTTCACCCATAGTGACCGAGGCTCAGTGAGACATTGCTGGCCTGCAGGTCAGCTCCCTCCCCAGGCCTCAGCTCAGGGCCTGCCTTGTGAGGTAAGAGATTTTCTCACCCAGGTGCTGGGCCTCGGTCCTTGCCCCTGCACTCATGGAGCCCACATGGAGACACCCAGGGTGATGGCTGCACACCTGCCCCCTCACTCCACTCCTGTAGCCGCGTGATCCAGTCGGTGCTTTCCCGGTAACTTCCCGGGAGACTCTGCGGCAGATGCAGTGCAGACCATTAGAGGAGACAGTCCCCGAAGAGACGGAGTCAGGTGCTGCTGTGAGCACGAACTGGAGTGGGGAACCTCAGACCCCTTTCCTGGGAGGCAGCAGCGGAGGAGTGTGGGTAGCCTGATGGTCACAGGACCTCCTGGGCCAGACACTCTGGTTTTGTTCTCTGTGCAGAAGAGCCCCTACTAGGTTTTAAGCACAAAAGGGCCGTGAGTTGGGCAGTCTGCCATTCTGTCTGCCCTTGTGGTAAGAAGGTTTGAATGGGGAGGGCAGGAGGCTGAAGCCACGTGCTTTGGGGGCTGTTCAGAGGCCGGGGAGTGAGGGGAAGAATGGAGTTGCCAAGTCGAAGCGTGAGTAGGTTAGAGAAAGGTGCCACCTGTAAGCCGGGGAACCCTGGTGCATGGTCTTGGCTAAACATGCCAGAGGATTCCTTAAGCCCCGTCCCTGGCTGCAGGAGACCACTGTTCCTGGACGGCAAGGGCGGGAGCTAGTCCCCAACCATGGCAGGAAGCCCAGACCGCCTCCACTTGCCTTGACCCCCACCCCCCAGAACGAGGAAGTTATACACAGGTCCCTGTAAGATTCCTGCCTAGGCTTAACTCCTCATCCCTTCCTAATGCCTCTTAACCTAAAATAAGAGGCCGCCTGGCCCTAATCCCTGAAGCTAAGGCCAGAGCGGCCAGCACAGCGAGAGGTAAAGTGCTGTCCTAGGCGGGCTCCTTTCCTTCTGGGAAGAAAAGCCATCCCACAGCCTTGCCCTCCCTACACATGGGGGTCTGGGACCCAATAGGAGAGGTGAGGGTGGCCTGGGACCTGCTCCATTCTAGCAGCAAGCGATGGTGACAAGCCTCTACCTGGTGTCACCCAGCATGACCGTCTCAGGGCTGCGGCTGCCAGGTTCCCAACCCACCTAAGGGCTTCTCATGGTGGGGCCAAGACTGCTTCATGCCCGCCCTGTTCACACCTGTGCAAGAGGCATGAACGGCAGCCAGAGGATGATCCCTCCAGGGAGGCAGCTGGCTCTGCCCTTGTGCATCCTGGGGCCTCGGTCTCCCATCTGTGAATTACCCTGGTTCCTTCATGGTGGGTGGGGAGGCCACTGAGGCAGAGATCTGGTCATTGACCTCACCTGGGGCAGCCTCTGTCCTTGAGCACTAGTACTGCATTTGAAGAACATTGTTTAAATCCTCTAGCAGTTGAAGGAAGACAACAGGCAGCCATGTGGCTACAGGCCACCCAGCCCCGCTGGCCTCCCCAGCCTCAGCCTTTCCAATGATTGTTCAATCAGTTTGGTACCTCCGCCGGGCAGCCGTACTAATGGCTCAGAGCTCCTCACTTTGTTCACTACGTTATCATCTGGAGATGCAATCAGCTTAGATAGAATCAGGCTCAGCCTGTCTTGCCTGGGGTGCTGGGTAACTCACGCTCACTCCTATCCCTCTACCCACTATCTGGCAGTTACCCGGCCACCTGAGCATCTGGCTGTAACCAGAGCCTGCATGTGGATGTCTCCAGATCAGATCGGCTGCAGGAAACAGGGACCTTCTCCTTTTCAAGCCTCAGCTACAGCCCAGGAGAGAAAGGAGAAAGCTCTGAGCATAGGCATAAACAGGATAGCACTTGGGGAAAGGAGGAGAAAAGAAAGGGACTGTGGCCACTGCTCAAGTTGACTATGCCAGGAGGCTCTGGCCACTCCCAAGCATGATGCAGAGGGGACCAGCGCCACCCTAGAGGGAGCCAGACCCTCTCCTCCCCATCCCTCTGGGTCCAGCCCCTGTAATATCCAGAAGCCAGCAGAGGTACTCCTGTTCCCAGCTTCCCAGTCCCCTGTTGTGACACCTTAGGCATCAGTCACCTGCTTGGCTGCTGTTTCCAGACAGCCCCAACCCCTTCCTCCTGTGTTTAACAGACTTAACTGTTTCCTTAACTCTCGATTCCAAGGACACTGTTTAGAAAATGGTTCCTGGGACCTCTGCCTTGGTGTCCACATTCTCTGGTCAGAGGAAATAACCCCATGTGACAAATTGACCCACCTTAGAATCCAACTTCCTTCCCCATTTGGAGGCCGCACCAGCTTCCTTTTAGCAGCAGTCAGGTTTCCATAATTTCTCCCAAGATGTTACTTCCATTCTGGATACCTCCAATGACAAGAGCTCGTCCATCTCTCTTCATAGCAGCTAAAAACTGCCTTGGAGGCCAGGCACAGTGGCTCATGCCTGTAATCCCAGCACTTTGGGAGGCCAAGGTAGGTGGATCACCTGAGGTCAGGAGTTCGAGACCAGCCTGACCAACACGGAGAAACCCCGTCTCTACTAAAAATACAAAATTAGCTGGGCATGTTGGTGCATGCCTGTAATCCCAGCTACTCAGGAGGCTGAGGCAGGAGAATCACTTGAACCTGGGAGGCGGATGTTACAGTGAGCCGAGATCTTGCCATTGCACTCCAGCCTGGGCAAGAAGAGCAAGAGACTGTCTCAAAAAAAAAAAAAAAAACCGCCCTGGAGATGCAATAATGAGTGAATGTGGCCATCAGGAACCTACAGGGTAGTGGGCAGAGCCTCACGCCCTCACAGAAGATAAAGCTGTGGGGAAGGGACTCCAGGGGAGGGCAGAGAACAGGGCAGCTAACCTGGCTGCATCAGAGAGGCCGCCCAGGGAAGCAACGGCGCTGCACGCGCCCACCCAGATGCTCTCTCCTTTGGCTGTTTCTTGCTGAACATCTTGCAGATTGCTTTTCAAATGCCAGGAGCTTCCAGGTCTCCTGGGAGCCTGTTCAGAAAGCCCTAAAGCCTGTGTGGAAGCCCCTCCCTACTGGGCTAATCGAGGCAGTCAGGTCTCCTGTGGGCTAAGCCTCCACACTGGAGCCCCAGCCTGTGCTGAGTGTTTCACAAGTGGCATCTCGGCTTCTGCTCACAGGAGCGGCTTCGTTTTGGCAGATGAGGGCTCTGAGGCCCAGAGAACTTAAATTTGCCAGTGAAGTAGCAGAGCAGGACCCGCATCCATACTTGCCCGATTCCAAAGCCAGTAGCCCACTCCACAGAGCTTGGGAAAGGCCAAGAGAGGACAGGGCCTGGCGGTCCCCTCCCCAACACACATACCCCTAGTGTGTTTCAGAAGATGGCTGGCTCCCTCTTTGCCACCATCATCTGAGGACAAAGGGCAGGCCGTTTCTCTGGATAACTGGTCTGAGTCTTATCCTGATTGTTCCAGCTCACCCCTCTTGTATCCCAGCAGCATGAACCCCCACCCCCCACTTCACTCGGGCATAGGACTCCTCCCAGGAGGGGGGATTTGAGGTGCTGAGGCTCAGCAGCCGTGGTCCCCCTCTCCTGGGGATGCAGTTACGGGCTGGCCAGTCTGGCCTGTACCTCTTCCCATAGACAGCCAGGGCAGCTGGCCTCTCTCCAGCTGGACGGAAGCCCCTTCCTCATCTGGGCACAGGCAGGTGTTTCTTCTCCTGGCCTTTTGTGGCTCCTCTCTGAACTCCTCCTGGGCTTTCCCCACACGCATCTCTCAGGTGTGCTGGGCCCCTGTCCACCTGCAGAGTTTCCTGTATACCATCTCCCCTTCCAGCCTCCATGCCTGGGGTGAGGGGAGAGCACACAGACTGGTGTTGCCCCCAGCTGCCCTGGTTGATACCCTAGCAGGTGTTCTTATAGCGCTTGTCCCACAATTCCTCTATTGGAGTATTTCCCACTCCCAAGCCCTGCTCACCACGCTGGGGAGAGGCAGGTCTCAGGAGTTTCTTTTCCCCAAGGTTGCCTCTTCCTCACCTAAAACCATATCTTTGCAAGATCACCCTGAGGATTCCCTAAGAACCCTGTTGCCCACAGGCCCATTCCAAGCACTAGGGATAGAGCCATCAGGGAGATGGACCAGAGCCGCCGACTCCAGTGCCCAACTCACAGTGGGCACTAGGCCATGGGTTATGACAGCACCAAGGACGACACACCTCCCCAGTGCCAGGCAGGGTGGCTGCCGCCTCCTAACCCTCCTTCCCTCTCCACAGGGCCCACGGACCTCAGCATGAAAGGCGGGGCCTCGACCACCTCCACCACCCCCACGCCCACCCCCTCCAGCACCAGCACCAGCAGGCCCGTGCCCACTGCTCAGCTCAGCCCCACAGAGATCAGCGCGGTGCGGCAGCTCATCGCGGGCTACCGGGAGTCTGCTGCCTTCCTGCTGCGCTCTGCAGACGAACTGGAAAACCTCATCCTACAGCAGAACTGACCCCACCGGACCTGGAGTGCACTGCCCTAGGGAAGGAGGCTGTCCCAGCCTGGACCCAGCTTCCTGCCTCGCCAGTTGGTACATTTTGTTTGAAAGAGGTGGGATCCAAAAGAGCTGTTTCTAGCCACACTCCAAGCACCTGAGACTTTGGGCACAAGGACACTTTTTTTTTGGAATCTCACCACACGGGTGCTCTGACCTGCTTGGAAGAGGCCAACAGGGCAGCTCTGGAATGGTTGGGGTCTCCCCTGACAAGGCGCTGGGGCTGCAGCTCTATTTAGAATCACCTTCGTGGACCCTGATGTTAGAATCCCACCCCCGGATAATTACCTTTCAAGTCTTAGGTGAGCAGAATTGCATATTTATTGAGAAAAACAAAGTGGACCCTTTCTTCCTCTCCCCTTAGTAATTTATTTTTCTGAAAATGGATTCTTTTGTGTTTGTACAGATTGCTAGTCTGTGTCTGTCTGATCAGAAGGATGTATCCCCATACCTGACATTCCATATCACTACACTGATGTGGGCTGGGGCCAATAGGGGCAGGGTGGGTGCCAGGCTGGCTGTTCCTCTTTGTGCCTGGCACACCCTGGGGCTGCCACCCCTTGGCCAGGCCATCCTGTTGCAGATCCCAGTGCTGCCACAAGGATACCGCCAGGCACCTCCCTAGGCACCGCCAAGCAGGAAGACCTTACCCACACCCACACCCATGGCAAAGAAGAAAGAGGCACCCCCACCCCATTCTACAGAAGCCCCAGTCCCATGGTCACCTGTATTCTACCTCACACTCCAACATGGGCTTTTTCCAGGATGTGCCCTGAGCCTGTTCTGAACAGCTGTCATCCCAGCTCCCCACACAATATGTCTGCCTGGGAGGTAAGTCCAGACTGGGTGTCCAGGAGCTGGAGCCTAGAGAGCGTCCTGTCCCTAACCGGCCACTGCAGTCCTCCCACCCTGGCCCCAGCTGCTTGGTAGGATGGAGTGCTGGGAGGTGGCAGCTGGGTGGCAGGGCCCTTCCCCTTACACCCTGCTGCCCAGGAGCCAGGTCTGAACTTCTGTCCACAGGCCTGGGCCCCCCGGACTCCTGCCAAGAGGGGCTGCTGCTTCAGGGTGGGCCCTGGCTGTCAGGCAGCTGTGAGCTCCAGGCCGGACTACAGCTCCCATCCCTTTGCCCCGTGTTTGGAGTAAAGGGACCAATGGAAGTGGAGGAGCCACTTGGGTTCTCCTAAGACCAGCCCTTCTGGAGGGGCCAGTCCTGGAAGAAACCCATAATCCCTGGAGTGTGAAAAAGGGCAAAAAGAAAAAGCTGGCCTGGTTTCCTTCCTCCCTGATAGGCACTTCCTCTTGCTCAGTGCAATACCTACCAGTGCTGCTAATCCAGGGATTCGCCCAGACCTCAGCAGGCCCCCAGGGCCCTCCATGCAACACTCCGTAGCCATGACAGCAGCTCTCTGCTGCCCAGCCCCTGCCTAGAGCTGGCAGAAGCCCTCTGTTGCCTTTCCTCCCTCAGAGCAGAGAGGCCCCAGGGGAGCCAGGGCCGAGTGGATCCTAGGATGGCCAGAGAGAGCCACTCGCTCCCAGAACAGGCACCCCTTCCCAAACCAGCTTTTCTGCAGCCAATTGCCTGTTGCAGCTGTGGCCACTGCCTCCCGGCACTGTGGCAGACTCCTCCCAAGGAGGGATGGGGAGGGGGCACCAGTAAGGATGCCCCATCCTGCCTCAGGTCCAGACTCTGGAAGGTAGGGTGCCCACTCCGTGCTTACTTCCAGCCCCTAGAGGTTGGGGGTGGTCTTATCTCTCAAGTGGCCTCCAACACCCCACCCAGCCACACCACCTCTGCCTTCCATCTGACCAATCCCAAGGCCTCTGGTCAGGGCCAGGACACCTGAGACTCACCCTTAGCACAGCACAAACTCCAGTGCCCAAGGCCTCTCCCACACTCCAGCCAGCCACACATCCAGTCCCACCTGTTCAGTACTGCTCCCCTCAACATTTGAATTTGTGTAAATATTTATTTTTGTGTGTGAACAATACTACAAAGTAATCAGTAGATCTTTTGCAAAATGTTACCCCAGGCAATTTGTGAAAATCTTAATGTTAAAACCTGGCAGAGACAATCGCCACCCTAGAATTCCTGGTATCAGTTACCCAACATGCCACTTCTCCTCCCAGAGGCAGTACCCAAGCTAGACATGAACCGTTTTCATTTCTTGGCAGACAGGAGTGAGAAAGACTGGGGAAGGGGCTCCCTCCCACTTCCCACACAAGGATGCGATCTAAGCATGAGCATAAGCTACAGTCTGAAGTCATGTTTTTCGGAGTTCAAGCTGTTGGAACTGACCACCCTCCAGCCTGCCTTAGTACTGCGGCAAGGATGTAGGTTCAGTGTGTTTCAGAAAGGAAAGAATATGTCCCTGGTGAAAGTTCACGGGGCCTCTCAGGCCCCCTCCAGGACAATGGAAACTACACCTACAGCCCCGGAGATGGCAAGATCGGGAGCAAGTTCCTGCATGGAAACAGGATTCCATTTAGCTGGTTCAGTCAGGGGACTTGTTCTGTTTTGCTTTTGTTTTAAAAGACGCAGCTTCAACCCCTTCTCCCTACTTCTGACTTCAAGGGCACCGAGGAGCTGGTTCTGATGAACCAGGCTTGCTGCTGTCTCAACCCTCCCCGGAGGGACTGCCTTCTCCCAAAAGGAGCTCCCAAAGCCCTGTCCCACAGCCATTTAAAAATCTTCTGAAGGCCTCAGGACACCAAGTAATCATTTGGGATCTTAAGTTAAAAAGGAAGTGCAAGAGCAGGATATTCCCGTTCCAGAGTCTTCGCAGGGGGCTAAGCCCACGAGAAGGGCAGCATCAGAGAAGTGGGCATTGGTCTTAGTGGTGGATCATCAGGTAGACAAGTGACAGCGTGTGTAACCCATCTGAAATTCATTTTACCGTCACCACTCTTACAAAGGACAGTTTGTTCCCAAGGACAGTGTTGACGGGGAGGGGGACAGGAAGGGAGTTAGGAGGGTTTTCGAGGATTTCAAACAGGTGGAACCCATCCATCCCTATTCCCAAGGGCCACTTACAACTCCAAGGGTGGTTACAGGATTAACTACCAGTTCATTTTCAAAATGCTGCTTTGAACTCAGAGGGTTGATACTTTTAATTTGTAAGTTTTTGTAAAACTTTATACAAAATAGTAAAAGTAAAGTATTTCACCAGAATACCAGTTTCAATCCGTCCATGGTCTGATTTTTATATAATTTAGTGGTGCTTTAGAAACTTTGTTTTTGTTTCTGAGCTAAACAGCTCAACCCTTTTTCGCCTGTATCTACCTAAGACCAATGTGAACCTTTGTATTTTTGCTCCTAATTTTGGACTCAGTGAAAGTGTACTGTTTACATGTACAGATGCCCCCAGTCCCTGTGTGTTCTGCAAGACTCGCTCTTGAGGAGGAAGACGCACCTCACTAAGCTCATCTGCTTAGCAAAGCCACAGACAAAAACCTCTCACTTTTTACCTACGTTTCCACCTAAAAATATAACAAAAAACCTATACCACATAGAACTCAGATTGGCTGAAAAACACTTTCCACCTGGTAGATGGCCCATACGCCTCTATTATGTGGTCCATTTAGGAGCAGGAGTCAGGAGAGACCTCCTGTGGTCTGCTGGTGGGCGACTGCATAGACAGAGGAAAGGGGAAGGCAGGACTTCGCAGCAGAGCTGTGGGATGAGTGGAGCTCTTCCCTGGGCAGCCTGGGAGTGGGAAGGTCAGAATGACTTAAGTGGCCTTCAGGATCAAGCCAACCAGGATTTAGGGACAACCCAAGAGGTCTTTAGTCCTCTGGCATAATTTAGACATGTTTTGGAAGAGCATGAGTTCAAAAACTGAGATGAGATGTTAAGACTTTCAGTGCAGATAGTACAAGCCATTTCTTCAGGGTTCCTCTGGGGGCAGCTCCTTCATGAGGTCCTACCTCCAGGGAGGGGCACAGGGCTCCAGATAGTAAGCACTTAAGGCAAACAGTGGATGGCACCAAGTTTGAAAGGTGACTCTTTATGAATCAATGGCTTCACCTCTAAATTATACTTTTACAGATATGCACCTATGCAACTTAACGTGGCTCTTCTAAGCAGGTGAGGACTTCCTCCTCAATGCTCTCTATAAAAATTATTTGTGTTCTATATAGTGAGTTTTACCAGTAAATGTGGCTTAATATTTTAATTCTTAGAATGTGTCTTCTCTACGTGATGCGACTAAATTCTGTTTTGTTTGTGGAATGACTAGCACAGGCCGTCTCCCTCTCCCCCTCACTTAACAAAAGACCAATGAGCTGTTAATCGAGCTGTTATCTCCATGGTATTACTTGCTAAATGCACTGATTTCATAAGTATGTGGAATCCTTTTCCTTTTGAATCTGTATATCATATATAAGACTGAATCTACTTAATAAACACTGAACAACAAACCGAACGCCCTGCTTCCGCTGTGTCCCATCGACAGCAGCGCCACCTGCCACTTCTCATCCTTCCTCATCTAGTTTGGCACCAAAACATCTTTCTACTGGTAGATTCCACCTTTTCCTAGCCAATAGTATAGCACACAGAAGGTCCTCGATGCATTTTCTAGAACAAATAAACCTGTAATTTCAGCCTCTCATCTGTTAGAAAGGGAAGGCAATGAACCTTTTGCAGGTGCCCATCAGTTGCTCAACACAGGTGGAGCTCTCATGCACCGTTTTATCTCTTAGTTCCCCCACCCCCACGTGCACACACACAGGCACACGGGGTAAATATATGCCTTGCTGAAATCCAGTGACCAGCAACAAATCTGTAGCTTTTCCACGACCTCTTACCCTAGGACAAGGGCAACGGACTGAAACCAAATCCCCAGAACAATCTCTAAGTGCTAATTTGGAAAACAGAGCAAACATGATCCCTGGTTCTGAACCTTTAGTGCTTAGCATCCCATTCTATCCCAACTCTGGATTCCCACCTTGAAGGAAACAAAAGGGCTACTTTTCCCAAAGAGAATTATTTGTGATTTTTTTTCATCCCATATATATGGTTTAGGTTAACCTTTAAGGAAAAATTGTAGGAATATGGCTGGGAACACAACTGGCCATCATGGATTTAAAAACAACTTTATGCATGTTAACTGCATACATTTTACTGCTAAAATTCCGTGTGCATGTATATATATGTACACACATTCATGGCAGTTCTTAAAACCTCTATTTGTAAATAATGACATTCTTTTTGTCACAGAAATTCTGTGCAGTAACCTAATATATAAAATAGAGAAGGGTGTGACTGAGGGGCCGAGACTCACTGAGACAGGACAAGGTCCAGGCACAGCAGAAGTCGGCCCTTGACGCCTCCCTTTGTCCATGGATGTGGGGAATCAGGGCAGCAAATCCTCAGTTAATAACACGGAAAGTCCTTGTCCTACCTAAAATGATCACCACTGAGACTGTTGAAACTATGACTATTAGAAACCCACAACCTGGGACAACAGCTCCAGACCAGACCCTGCTGGCCAGCCCGCACACACTTACCTCCTTCCACAGGAAATACTGCGGTTCCGAGGGAGCTCTGGGATTCCCAGGAGAAATCTGCCTGAGGGCAGAAAAGCGCTGGAGTCTGGCTTCTTTAAATGGGTCTCCACACCACTGTTAACAGTGGACAAAAGACTTCATCAAATGGGAATGTCCCCTCAGAAAAGTGAACTAAAATGTACTCAATGACAAAACAGGCAAACCTCCCTTTACGAAAAACACGAAAACATGCATATGCTATTTTTACAACTTAAAATGCACTAAGGAAGCTTAGTAGTTACAGGAAACCCAAGAATCCTTGTAAAATCCTGTCTTCCCTTAACTGATCTTTTGTATAAACACAGATTTTATTAGGTTTATTCTCAGCCAGTGGTTCTTAAATCAGGGACCCTAAGGAGCTGGTAAATGCTGACAGTGTGCAAAACTTTGTGAGGCCAAGTGTGGTGGTGGGATCGCTTGAGGCCAGGAGTTCAAGACCAGTCTGGACAACATAGCAAGAGCCCATCTCTACAAAAAAATTTAATATTAGCTGGGAGTGGTGGCATGAGCCTGTAGTCTCAGCTACTTGGGAAGATGAGGTGGGAGGATCGCTTGAACTCAAGAGTTTGAAGCTACAGCGAGCTGTGATCACGCCACTGCCTGAAAAGAGGGAGACTCTAAAAACAAAAACACTGTATGTGCATTCCACGGAGGGAGAGTTTCCAAAAACAGGTTAAGACCCACCCGTATCAGGTAACACAGCACAGACAACTGTGGTACAGGGCGGTCATCTACGTCTTGTGGTAGAGATGTTCATTCTAGGCTTTCAAATTGACCAGAGACAAGAGGAAGCATAAGGGCGTTATCCAATTTTGGAGCAATCTCCAAAGTCTCACATCCTGCCCCTTCATGGCTTCGGACAATACCCACACGTGAGAGCAACACAGCCTGGGGCTCCTCCTCTTAGGGAGACAGGGCAGGCAGATGCTTTGGCATCAGGACCCCTGGTGGACACCGGCGGCTGTTATTTAGCATGCACGAATACCCACATCCCCCTCTCTTAACACAGTCTTAGGGCAGGCTGGATAGCAAACAAATGACGCCTTGCCAGGTCAGTACCATTCTTCCTTCCTATATTCTGAAACATGATTTTCCTTGCCCTTTGGACCATGAGCAAAATAAGCCTTCCTTACCAAATATTCAGTCTCTAAACTCAGGATAGCACTCAACTTTTGGTCAGGTCTGTGGCCCAAGACCAAAAATCAGGGTCCAAAGTAACTTCACAGTCTGCATGAGCCCCTCAGCGCAGTGGGCAGGCCTACATCCTGACGGCTCCCCTCTGGAGCAAGAGTGAAGTCGGCGGCAGTAGCTGTATAGACTCCTACTGTGAGTTCACATAACTACGACTGTCTTGGCCTGCTATGAACTAACAGTCATCATTTCCCAGGTGGCAGGCACTAATAACCTCATGAAGTAGAACTATTAGACCTATTCACAGATCAGAGGTGGCAACCAGGTTAAATAACGTCCAAGACCACAGAGCTGATGTGTTGCAGAGGCTGTGCTCTAGAAGTCACTGCATCATTCTGCCTCCCTGAGCAGATACAACAGGCCATGGAAGTCCCAATCCGGGACTGTAATGATTCGGAGCTCCTGCAGACGTAAGTGGCCAAATGGATTCTGTAACACAAGGACACATCACCACGACCAGGCAGTTGCCCAGTCACTACAGGGCCCCTGAGCCATCGACTCTCAAAACGGCATGTCTAACAAACAGCAGGACTATAAAGTGGCAGCTTCAACTGTCCAAGGGATATCCCACCAAAGTTCTTCCTCCAATTCACAGGAAAAAATTGATGAATATATGTTTAAACTCCCATGTTTTTCTCCTTTGGCTTATTTATATACTAATAAAATTATTTTTGATAAGCACAAAGTCAATGTATTGAAGTACTCCAGAGACGTCCGAGGACTTCTCAATCAAGAAGGCAATCCCCTGAAGCACGTCATCTACTCAGGCTCACTCCACTAGCACCAGACAACCCACCCTGGGCCAGCACCTTCCTCTCACTGCCACCAGAGGTCACAGAAAGAGGTGCTCATGGTTAAGGTTTTTTAAGTTCAGAGCTAGTCACCTCCCACAGAAGACCACTGACCATTAGGAAGCCACTTGGGAACCTCAAACTCAGTGAGACAATTTGGATGAGCTGCAGAGGGATGTCGCAGTTTATGACTTTCACTCACAAAGGGGAAACCTTCTCATTGTTCCCAGCAGATTGCTGACTGCAGTCTATGTGGGAAGTCTGGCAAGCCATGGACAGCTAAAGATCAGTGAAGCTGCTAAGTCATTCCTTTAGACCTAACCTACCAAAAGAAGAGCTCCAAGCATAAGAACAGTAGCTCCAGAGCCAAGGTGGGGAGAGCCGGCATCTACTCCTTCCCTTCCAGCTCTGCACTCCAGCCTGACCTTCCCACACCGGCGAGGCAGCCACAGAAGATGACTGGGACCACAAGTGCGGGTTGTACGGGTTTATTGTTCCAATACCACAACAGACATACAAAAGCAGTGCTTTCCCTGGGCAGCCCCATGGACCAGATCAGTGTCAAACTGTGTACCCTTGAGTGTCCCCCAAGGTTCCAGCAGAGGGAAGAGGACTGGACGTGCTTGGGCCCCTGTTCCCGGTCTTTGGTAAACAGACGCTTAAGTTGACAACTTGGACTTGGCCAATACTGAATTCTAAATCACATAATTGGCAACTTCTCACTCATGCTTCAGATGATGAAAACGCCACATCAGATTAAATGAGAAAAAAAAAACTTTCAGATAAAATTAGACTTGAAGTCATACAGATTTTATCCTTGACCTAAATTAAGCAAGGATCCTCAATTCTGTAATAAGTCGAAAATACAAGAAATAAGGCAGGGAACAAGGCAAGAGAGACACATGCAGGGGCACCTACTTGCCAGGAACACGTTGGGAGAGAGGCAGGAGCAGGCATGGCTTTGTTTGTTCCCAAGCCTGCCCGATGTCAAAAGTACGTCAAAAGGAGCCTCACGGTCCCAGGAGAGCATGGTCCCAGGTATTGCTGTGACAGGTGGTGACCCTGGAGCCAGATCTGGAAGGCCTTCCTGGGGGCTGCCCAGGGAACTCACCCATGAATCCAGAAGCACTTAACACTGGTGGTGATTTGTCACATATGGCAGCGAGCAGCCATTAAAGGCTGTAGGAGGAAGAGAGGTGTGAGAAGCAAGATGCGTTTGCTCATGGTGTGGGCAGGCTGACTGTGGCTCTGCAGGCTGCAGCAGATCCACCCGGTGACCCGACAGGGCATCGGGCAACCTGGCAGGTCACAAGTCAAGTATTTCACCCTCACGTCGAGCAGCACAGCATTCAGCGGCTCTGACAACAGGTGTAGAGAAGTAAATTACACCACTTTAATGCAATGATGCTGAAGATGTAAAATTAGGAAGAGACATTCATGTTCTCTGTACAATACATCCATTTACAGAATTGGCCAGTACTGTGTACAACATATAAATACATGATAAAACATTAGAGGTGCATAGAGCATACTTACAGAAGCCAAAAAGTTCACTTTATACATCCAAGAATAAAGAGTTAAAAATATAAAAATAAGAAACACACACTGCGCTTTGAAATGTAAAATGACTTTCACATACACAAGTGCGTGGAGATGCCCACTCCCATAGGGTCCAAAGTGACAGGGAAGATGTCAAGCAGAGGAATTCACCTGCAACCATCTGGACGGCTGACTCGCCAGGTCTACAGATGGCATTTTCACAGGAAAGACAACCCTATTCCCCAACCCCATTGTCCAAGCAGAGCTATTCAAGGTTCCAAATGATCCTGTGGGCTAGTGGATTGCACCAAGACAGAAAAGTCCCAAATTTGCTTCAGCAACAGAACTAACATCAA